ATCTGAATCCCTTAATACTGGTGTATGCATTGTAGAGCTGTAACTTGGGTTTTATGGTGAATAAATCATATAAATAATGTGGAGGTTGAGTGCTGTGGCAAGGAGTGATCACAGTTACCCTGTTGTGTTATTTTAATTGCCTGGTGTGTGGTTGACAGCATCACTTGTTTCTCTGTTTCAGTGTTTTGGTATCAGAATGGAAAGGATGATGTCTTTGTGGCACAGTTGGTGACATGTACTGCTACTATCTTTGTCAGCTAGAAAGGAATAGTGTAACATTTCATTTTTAAACCTGTGAAACCTTTCCACTCATTTTCATTTGGCTGAGACAAAGAAAATAGCCTGGATTTCATGTGTTGGAAGCATCTCTAGAGTCCAAGTAAAAGGGAGAGTAGGCTGGTCCATTACTGTGTTCTGCAGCAGAAGGACTGGCTGTACCTGCAGTGGTCCTTCAGCATGGAAACTAATGAAGAAATTAAAGCAAATGGGTACTGACTGACCATTTTCAGGCCCTGCTCTAGTCACATGAGGTCTGTGGTGTATCACCAGTGTGCTGCCACAGTCAGCTCAAGGAAATGAAAATGAAATTGCCTTCATCTGGAAGTGCCATATTAGCCCAGTGCTGTGGCTGTTGGTCTTGTTGTGACAACTGACAAATATGAAAACAGTGACTTAAATATGGAAACAGGCTGGGACTGTTTCTGTAGAAGGCACAAAGGTTGGTGTCTGAGAGCACAAGTGTCTGTTTGGTTCCCAGTGGCACTGGGGTTTCTTCACTCTGCAGGCAGTGGAAGAAGGGTAAGGTTTCAGGTCACTGTGTGGAGGTGCTAAAGAGGAGAATAGGCAGGGAATGCCAAGACTCTTTGCGAGGCTGATGAGAGCATGAATTCAGGATCCAGCAATATAACATTGCAGACCCTTTGTATATAGTATATGCCAACAGTATAAATTAATGCTGGACTGCACTTTGGCCTTAAATTTTTATTTTCATGCCTTTCTTGATATTTCATGCCTGTCGTGAAATTTGATAATTTTGGAGTTCTAATGTGACTAATTCTTACTGCTCTTAAAATAGCAGCTCAGTTACAGTCAATATGCAGCAATACTTAGGAGTAAATGTGTCTGGGAAAAAAATTGTTAATTTTGTGAAGACAAAGGTCCATTATGTTACATTGCTTCACCATCCTCATAGTGCCTTGCATGTCCCTAATACCAGTTCCTCTCTGTCAAGCATGCAATTATTTGCATTACCATGCACTGAAGGTGGTTTATCTGAGAATAACTGCTGAGGGGTGGTGCAGGAGCACAACGAGCCGATGTGAAACCTCTGCCCTTTGGTGCGAGCAGGAGATGCAGAAAGCCTGTGTGAGTGCTCCTAATCCAGTGCCCCTTCCCTCTTAATGTTGACCTCTATTCCAGTAGCTGCACTTGATTTCTGCCAGGCTTTTCGTGACCCCACGCAGCAGCACAGTCCCAAATTAATAAGGATCTGTGTTGACAGCTGCTTCAGAACCTTCTGGCCTCTGCCAGGGATTTTTTTTTCCCTTTGTGTGCAGGATGTTGGATGCAGCACCCCAGGATTCCTTCTGCTGGTTGCTTTCCTGTGCAGGCTCAGGGAATCTCTGGGTTTTTGCTTTCTTTTGCAAATTAACTGCTGCAAGGACAGTTGTTTGTGTGCTGTTGAGATATGGCCACTGAAGGAGTGGAGAGGAAATGTCTCCTGTTGTGTTCTACCAGTGGAGGCTGTGTCTGAGTCTCCTCTTGAATATGGCTTAGAAATGGCATTGAACCCGTGCATCAAGGTGTGCTCCTTGCATTCAGTCATCATGGCAGCATTAATTAATGATTTGCTCTTTATTTCTTTGCCAAGCACTGGCTGGGGGTTTGTTCTCTGCGCTTTTGTTATTGCAGTAATGGCGAAGTTTCACCGTCGCGGTGCTTCCACGAATCACTTTTGAGAATTTGCACACCATCTGTGTGCAATAATAAAGCTTTTAGCAACTCCAGATTGCTGTGCTCGTGGTGGGGAGTGTGGATGGAAGCCAGCCCAGTGAATTAAGGTCATGTCCCTACTGGGGACAGAAAGCAAGCTCTAGGTAAAACGATCTAGACAATCCCTGGGAGAGGCATCTGTTCCTGGTAGGACTTTGGCAATCGTGGTTATGGCTGTTAATCTTCAGGCTTCCAGCCACTGCAGGGTAGGAGAAGAGATGTGGAGACTCACTCCAGGCATTTGTGGACACCTGCAGGAAAAATACTCCATGTTCTTGACAGTCATAGGTGGATGGAAAGTATTGTTGAGTAGAAAATGTGTAAAATGAGCCATGTGGGTTAAAAAAAGATAAGTAAACATGGTACAAAGCAAAAGAGACAACAGACACTTTTCAGACAAGGTTTTTTAAAAGGATTAGTACAAATACTGAATCTCTCAGTGGAGAAGTTCTTCATAATACCAACATTTTAAGAACCTGACATTTACAATATTGAGGAGAAAGTAAAAAGCTCTTGGATATAGGTCTGTGTGGGAGGAAATGTCGAAAGGAAAAAACCATGAACTGTTGTACCAGATAAATACACTATATTAAGAAATTACAACGTGAGAGGGACATCTTGTGGCACAAATAAAATAAAAAATAATAGTCCAGTGGCAGGAGGAGTATCCTGGAATGTTACCCCGGGGTCACCATTTCTGGTAGAAATTCCAGGCCTGGCAAGAGATTAATTTGTTCCAGTCTTTCTTACAGCAGGAGTCTTGCTACACACTTTCTCATCTTCCCACTTTTTTGTCTCCATGAGCAGAGGATTACAGAACACAGACGTTCTACCAAATATACTTGTCTGTCTTGGTGCAAATGATACTAGTTTTTAATGAAGAAATAGATTAAAATGTCACTACCATTATTTGACTGAATGTGTTGTCATCAGTAGCATAAAATGTGACAGAACTTTAGCTGTGGGTGGTTAACACTTATTTTCCACTTGTGTCGCAATCTTATTTCCATATGTTCGTATAAATTAAAAAGAATAAATTTAATTTGCAGGAGTACAAAGGGCCACGATTGTGTACAATCAACCGAAATTAATCCTACCACGTGTCTGTGAATCTCGGTGTAGCCTTGTCAGTGTGTCTGAACCTGAAGATCCCGTGTTTGATTAGTTTTGATCACGTGGTGATAAAAGTTTAATTATCTTTTTCAAGCAGTAGTTTTCCCCAGAGTTGTCGCTGTAACTTTGACTGATTTCTTGAGTACCTGTTCACTGCCTCAGATGAGGCTGTGCTGTACCTCGGTGTAGAGTGGGAGAAGTCTCTCCAGTGCAGCAGTTTTCAGTCCCAGCAGACCTCAGCCAGTGCTCTCTGGAAGTGGTTCCTCTCAGTGGGCTGGTTGTGCCCTGGAGCAGAGCTGGGGTAGCAGGTGCTGACCCCCAGCCCAGTTACCTTCCAATTGCACCTTACCCCCTTGGCCACTTTGGGCTGCTGGTGAGGGGTGATCAGGAGGAGGAACTTGAGGTGTTGCTGGTTTGGGTGTTTTAAACAAGCTGGAGTAAGTTGGCAACAGCACTGAGCAGAGTTATTGCTCTCGGCTTCGGGGAAACAATAGAACGGCAGTTAAAGGGAAAACCAGACAGAAATACCTCTCAGCTGGGTGGGTGTTGAGCTCGTACTTCTCATAAAAACCTGAACATCGGGCAGGTTTTGATTTCATGCTGCATCTTCTGTTTAAAAATTCCTCCAACCAGATGTTGTTTTGGTCAGGCTCACAATTTCCATTGCTACCTTGTTTTTATACATCTGAGACAGAAGGTTCAATGTATGTTGTTTTCCTGGGGATGTTTATGATGTGTCTATTCATGCCTAAGGATCCAGAAATACTATTTGAATCAATCGGTATGTAAATCATTCTCTGCTTTGGAAAGATAGGAGATCATTTCTCCAGCAGTAATTCAATCATAGCTTGTTTTTTGTAAAACCACAATGCCCTTGCCTAAATTTAATTCAAAGTTTATGTTTCCTAGCTACAGTTCTAGTACTTCAGTTGCCATGAGTAGAAACACCATAAATTGTGACAAAAATGAAGGACAAGAGTAAAGGGATCTTTTTGAAGTAAGAATGGGGTGGAAGCCCCAAGTTTTTGTTTTCAGGCTTTTGCACAAGATGAACTAAAAATCTGCCAAGTCATGCTGTTGTCCAGCACAGATTTTTGACCAACACAAGTGTTTCATAAAATGGAGGGTTTTTTGCTACTTACAGGTCAGGTACAATCCTGAGCATTGCAGCGTGGTTGCTTTGGCCACAATTAATTATCCATTAGGAATTGCACAGAATGACCAGTATTAGGCTTAGGTTAACCAAAACCTTGGGTTTGCTGGCATTGGTTGAATTCAGTGTGTGGACTTAGGCCTGTCAGGATGCCAGCTGCACACTTTCATGTGTGCCTAAATGATCTGGATTGCCAAAGAGCCTCACTCCAGTCTCTTACTGGTTTGATCCGATGGAAGATCAATTCCCACAGTGATGGGCCTGCCCTAAGCTGTGCCAGTGGGGCAGTTTGGTATCGGGGCAGAGAATGAGCTTCCAAATACCGTGGGAATGTGTTTTCCAGCATGTCACCTGCATAAAACACTCTTGACAAACAACAAACAATACCCATCTCTTGTTATGCCTCTCTGCCTTCAAAGAGGTTTTCCTGGTTAAATAGTGTGATGGTGTTAGCTCATGGTGTGAACACAAGTTTAAGAGCTGTGCTGTGAATCTCTCACGTGTTTGGTGGTTGGAATGTCGTTGGTTTCTGGTTTGGTGTGGGATGTCCTGGGGACTGTCAGGGACAGCAAGTCCTTTTGCGTTGTGTATGTGTGTGGAGGGAGGTGCCTGCCTACCTGGAGCTACATCTGGATTAACGGTGGGACACCATTCTCAGCTTTGCCCTTGGTGTCAGGTGTCTCCTAAACAACACACACCACGCCTAGCAAAGGCACGTTTATTCCAGAATAAGTATTTCCCCAAAAGGGCTGGGATGGAAAAGCCTTAAGTGACGACGAACCGCGTGAATTCACGCCCGTGGTGGGCGGTTGTCGCTGGCCGTGCAGAGGTGCGGGGAGGAGGAGCAGGGAGCATCCTCGGGTGTGTTGGTGCAGCGCCGGGGTGCGGGGGTGTGTGTGTGTGTGCCTGCAGTACTGGGGTGCGCGGGCAGGGCCGGGACCCGCGTGTTCTCCGGGCGCGGCGGGGTCGCTCCGGGTGATGCTCCTACCGCATCCGCCGCTCGTGGCGGGCCTCCGGGCGCCCCGTGACCGCCCCCGCGTGCCGGGCTGCGGCCGGCGCTGCCCCCGCTCCTGGGACGAGGCGGAGGGCTGCGGCCGCGTTGCCGCCGGGTCCCCGCCGCGCCGGGCGCTCCCCCGGCTTCCCGCGCCTCCCTCCCTTCTCCCGCCTCCCGCCCCCGGCTCCGCATGCCGCCGGCGGGACAACGCCGGCCTGCCCGAGGATGCTCCGCGCTTCTTTGTTCGCCCCGCCGCGGTAGGGCCGGGGCGGCGGGCGGGCCGGGCGGGGGGCGGCGGGCCGGGGCGGCGGCGGGGCCGGCAAGAGGCTGGCGAACAAAAGCGCCGTGCAAAATGGACCAGCGGCAGAAGGGCTGGACGCCCCGCCCTCCCCGCCGGGCTGTCCCCGCCCGCCTGGCCGGGGCTCCGCGGGGGCGGCATGCGCATCCCGCCTTGTCCGCCCGGCGGGCGCCCGGGCCCGGCCGGGGGATGGGACCGGGGCTGGAGGCGGGCCGCGGCGGAGCGTGCAGGGCGTGGGGAAGGAGCGGGGCGGCGGGAGAGGCGGTTCTGTAAAACACTTTCCCCTTCTCTCTGTCAGCCTTTGGGAGGACTCTCGTCCTGACTCGCTGAAGGTTCCTCTCCCTGTTCCCCCAGCCCCTCGTCCCTGCTCGGCGCGGCAGCCCACCCGGGCGGGCACCAATATCAGCCCTCTCCCGTGCGCCGGGGAAGTTGCTGACATGCCTGCCGCCGGGTCCCGGTGCACCGGCAGCGGCGGGGAGCCGGATTTAAAGGGGAGTTGTGCTGCAGACAATGCACAGCAGCAGCATCTGGAGCAGCCCTGGGGACCGGAGCTCCGGTTTTGACATTGCTGCACGCACAGCACCAGCCGCAATGACAGCAGCTGCCTGGAGTGGCTGCAGGCAGCAGGCAGGAGCATGAAGTAGAGCGATCACTGCAGTGCTCAAGATGAACTCCTCTTTGGTTGGCAACCAGAGTGGCCGGCCCTTCTGTCTCCTGGCCATTAGCTATTTGGAGACCATCAATTTTTGCCTCCTGGAAGTGGTTATTATTGTGTTCCTCATGGTGCTGATTATTTCGGGCAACATTATTGTGATATTTGTCTTTCACTGTGCACCTCTGCTGAACCACCACACCACCAGCTACTTCATCCAGACTATGGCGTATGCTGACCTCCTGGTGGGCGTGAGCTGTCTGGTGCCTTCTTTGTCTCTGCTGCACTATCCTATTGTTTTGAGTGAGTCTTTGGTTTGCCAAATCTTTGGTTATGTGGTGTCAGTGCTGAAGAGCGTCTCCATGGCCTCCTTGGCCTGCATTAGCATTGACAGATACATCGCCATCACAAAGCCGCTGACCTACAACACGCTGGTTACCCCGTGGAGGCTGCGAATCTGCATCCTGACCATTTGGCTCTACTCCTGCCTGGTCTTCTTACCCTCCTTTCACTGGGGAAAGCCTGGATACCACGGGGACGTGTTCCAGTGGTGCGCCAATTCCTGGAACACCGACCCCTATTTCACCCTGTTCATTGTGGTGATGCTCTACGCCCCGGCCGCCTTCATCGTCTGCTTCACCTACTTCAACATCTTCCGCATCTGCCAGCAGCACACCAAGGAGATCAACGAGAGGCGGGTGCGCTTCAGCTCCCAGGATGGGGAGGCTGGGGAGGCACAGCCCTGCCCGGACAAGCGCTATGCCATGGTCCTGTTCCGCATCACCAGTGTCTTCTACATCCTGTGGTTGCCCTACATCATCTATTTCCTGCTGGAGAGCTCCAACGTCTATAGTAACCGCGTCGCGTCCTTCTTGACCACTTGGCTTGCCATTAGCAACAGTTTCTGCAACTGTGTCATTTACAGTCTCTCCAACAGTGTCTTTCAGAAGGGGCTGAAGCGCCTCTCGGGGGCCATCTGTGCCTCGTGCGCTAGACAGAGGGTAGCTAAGGACTCCTCTACCTCTAGGAGCAAAAGATCTTCCAATGGATGTCACGTCTAGGACGCCTGTCAGCTGGACTGGGAAGTGCAGGGACGATTCCGCAAGTTGCGAAATAAGTTAGATACGATTTTAAGATGTCCAGATTTGCAAAAAGGTTTCTGAGAAATGCTGCTGACATAGAAGAATCAGGAGCACATATCGTTGCGGTTTCACTTTAAAAAATGATTGCTGTGGAGGAGGCTGTGGAGTTTCACCTCCATATTCATTTTAAAGAATAAAGCTGTATCTTGACACTTACCTCTCCAGCTGGTGTGACTGAATGGAGTGGGTGTCTGAGAGCTTCGGCAAAATGTAGTCTTTCTTACAGCTTTACTGGGTTCTTTGGAAATTCGTGCTTCACATGTAAATGATAGAGCTGAAGTGGAAATGTCACAGTCTATGGTATATTACAGGGATTTTTTTAATATATGCCAAAGTATATTGACACAACGTTCCAGCGTCAGAACAGAAGGGGCCAAACAATTTGTTTTTCAGTGCTACCTAGACAGGACTTGTAGAACAGGAGTGAACAATGTGAACATTTCAGTGTGAACTCAGTTTTAATGAGCCGTGAGTGCAGCGATGTGATCTGAGCAGTCGTAGGCTTGGGGCTGATCTGGGTCCGTGCCCTGTTTCCCTGGTAGGATGCATGTTTGGATCAGAGTATGGCATCTGCCTTTTCCTGTTTGTTGTGAAGTAAGAAGAAAAACTTGGATCAGACCAAATTTAGCAGTTAAATAAAATGTGTTTTGATAAGCTATGAGAAAATACGTGTTGCTTTATGATACCAGAGTTGTGGCAGCCACTCAAAGATGATGCCAACATGTGAAAATTATTCTCAAACCAGTGGAGAAATGCCACGAGTTTGTATGTGGAAATTTTCTCAAGAACAACTTTAAAAATAACATGTCCCTTTTTTTTTTTTTAATCTAAATTCTTCTGATATTTTACATACTAGAACTTAAGGGGAAAGGAAAGAAAACAATTGTCTTCTAAACAGCTAAGGGAACTATGTTGTAAATTTAACTGTAGTATTTGAGTTATTCATAAGTGCACAGAGCTAAATCAGAGACATTTTTCTTTAGCCTTCATGGGATTAAAGATGGTTCAAATATAGCAGGAGCTAAATCCTGTTGGCAAACACATATCTAACTGGTCAGACAAAGGCAATATCTGAGAAACCAAATGTCATTGACCACATTGTTCGAGCTATCCTAGATTAAATGTTTGGAGTACTGGAAAGCTGTTAAGAAGGCAGTGTGGCAGAATTGTTGAGTTTTTCCTAAGGAATATCCTTTTTACTGATGCCATTTTGGAAAATGCAAGTGAACCGAGTGTTCCTGTAATAGTGGGTTACAGTTGTATTGTCCTGTGTCTGCCTGTCCCTCCACCACACCTGCTCTGAGGGCAGGTTGTGCATCCCCTGTTTATCCTTCCGTGGTGCTGCGAGCTCAGGGAATTCCCTGAGCTGCTCTGGTACAGCTGATGTGTGCTGTTAGTCACAGTGGGAACGAAGAAGGGTTAGGGAAAAGGAATTGGATCATTTTAGAATTGGGGTAATTCTCTTGGCCAGAGGGAAGACTGTGGTTTTTTTAAATGGTGTCAAGTTGTCTGTTGTTGCAGATCAAGATCATCTTTTCAGTGCTCTGCCCTGTCCCTCCAGCAAACACCCCCCTCTTCTCTGCTCTGCTGGGAGCCCTTTGCCCTGGAGGATCCCAGCCCATGTCTCTGCCCGTCACATGCCAGGATTGCTGCAGTCCCTCTGCCCATCCACATCTGCACCAGAACAGTCTCGTGGGGCTGCCAGTGAGGAAACAGGGAAGGGCAGAGAGAGCAGGATGAAGCACTCCTGGCACAGCCTGTGCTTGTGAGCACTCAGTGCTGATGTACTTGGTTCCTCTCGGGGGTGTGTAGCTGTTCTGGGGAGGATGGGGCAGAACTGCTGCTGCTGCTGCTGCTGCCCCGTTCCCTTGGGGACCCCAGTGGCAAAGCATTTAACTTGTATCTTGATCTGCTCCCAACATGTTCCATCCCCAGTCCAAACCTCTCCAGATTAAATTCCTCCTCAGTTCATCTGAAATGTGAAGAACCCAGGTTGTGTAAACCCTGATGCCTTCCCGTAGACATCTCCTGTTCTCCTCTGTAGTAAGGCAGAGTCTGGACCACGGCTTGTGCCGGGTCCTCCAGACGTGGCAGAGGTGATTTGTTCTGCAGAGCCCTCGCAGTCTGAATGTTGGTTAGACACAGACAGCCGTGGGGGGAGTGCAGGGGTGTAGTGAGTCATTTCTGAGTGGTATAATAAGCTCCCAGCACATCAGCTGGTAATTGTTCTCCAGTGGTTTGTGGGTATTATGGCACAGGTGGGCTTTGGGGAACAATTTAAGGGCTTTAGTCACTAATATCAAAGTGTGTGTGTGTGGTATTTTTGGAACAGCCTCTCAGGTAAACTCCCAATAGCTTTTCTCTGCTCTTCACCTTATCTAACATTTCCGAGTCTTTGAAGTGATGCAATGTATCATTGAAATAGCATTTGATTAAAACTTAATGGAAGAGAAGAATCTGCTGGGGCCTAAAGCCCCAGAAATGGCAGTTTCAGGTTTAAGTGGAAGCAAAGATTGTTGCTTTTGTTTTTTTTCCACGAATAGAGGGTTTAAATAGTATCATTGTGTGCTAGTTTTGGAGAATTTGGAAAATGTTTAAAACGGGTAAGGGGTCTAAATCATGGCATAGAGGTTTAGCTGGAGCTGAAGCTCTGAGCCTGGAATTGTGCTTGGAGCACAGTGGCTGTTCCAGATGCAGGTCCATGCCTGCAGCTGTTGCTGCTTTGCAGCTAAGGCTCAGCTCTACATTCCTGACAGCCAGGCTGTTTTCAGTTGCCTTACTCATCTCCAAGTCTTCCTCAGCTCAGATAATCTCTGGGAGAGGTGAAAATCAGAATCTAGAAGTCTCCAAGAGATGAGGATGGAGAGGAGTTGCAGCCAATTGGTGCATTCAAGTTTCATCCAGTGTTTGTACAGACACTTTTAATGTTGCCTCAGTAGCTTAGTTTTAGGTTCAAGTATTTCTCTTTTTGTCTGTGTTAATTTATTGTTTGGGGGTTTTTTTATAATTTAAATTATGAGGGGTTTTTTTCCCTCTAAGTTAATTTAATGTTGATGTAGGTTTGTTTGTGGTTACATGTTTTAAGTATTCATAACATTAGAGTCTGTTGTCTTCATGGAATTGCAGGGGGTGACTCCTGTTCACTGTGCCAACTGGAAGAAATAATTTTGCCACACATTACCTTGTTTGCTCAGCAGCCCTTGAACACCCTTTGTCATGCAGCTCACACGAGGCACGGGGGGGGGGATCCTTTTCCTCACAGTCTGTGCTAGGAATTGTCAGGCAGCAAACTTTGCATTTGGCTGGTTTTCCTCGTTGTGCACATGAAACTAATCCTTCCCTGGCTCCGTTTGTGCCCGAGTGTGCCGGTGCTCGAGAGCACTGCACAGATAAATGCCACTCTGAGGAGAGTACAGAAATCAAATTACAGCCTCATGAAAATTGTGTTGTGATGTGATTAAATGAACTAATTTTGAAGTTCCATCTCAGACTATAAACTGATTTTTTTATTAGGGTTATCTGCCTCGCTCTCAAATTAAGCTGCTGGAAGGTTCAATTTGCAGGATGCAGTTCAGTGGCTGTTTTTAGTGCCATGGGAAGGATTTCAATACTCACAACTTCTCAGAAGGTGATAATTTGCTTCATCTAGAACACTTTATTTTTATTCTTTTTAAGGATTACTGGAAGTTTAGGTTGTGATTATTTTGTCATTTTCCAAATAGACTGGGAGAATATCTGTGAAATATTATTTTTTTATGATCTCAATCAAGTGACAGTATTTTTAAACTCAACAGATATGTTTTGTGTGAAACAACAGTTTTGCTGTTATGCTACTGCTAGTTTTTTTTTAATTAAATGTTACCAGTTTCTACAGTCTTGATTTGTTGTTGGGGGTTTTGTACTTGTTTTTAAGCTTCTTATCGCTCAGAGTGTTTCTTCTGGTTGGAATTCTGACATGGCTCAGTGTCAGAGTGCCAAGGGGCAGTCTTGGATATTTGTCACAAGTCTTTAACAGGAAGAAAGTGGTACAAAGTACTAAGGCACAGAGAATTGGAGGAGAACGAGAACTCCCAAACTGCACCCCTGTGGCATTGTCCCTGCCCTCTCATAGAAAGCTTTTAGGTGTAAGAATCCTAAATTTCAGCAGTTTGTTCGGAAAAAGGCACTTCCAAGGCCTGGGTGTGATGCGAGATGGAAACATTCAGTGTGCAAATTTAATATGCAGATTTTTTTGCTGTTTATTGTGGTATTCCCAACTGCTGCAGTGATCAAGGATGTAACTCCATGAGTCGGGAAGTCAGAAATATTTCAGTCTCATCTTACTTCACATCAGGGTTGGAAGTTGGCAGAACTTTTCCTAATTCAGGTTGATGCTTTAAAAAATATTTCTTAGGAACCAACCAGTGTGTGAGTGCAGGAATCTGCCTTGAGACATTACAAACTGAAGGCCCATTTAACATTTTTCTGATTACGTGATTCATCCATTGTAGGTAATTTTAGTTTAATAAGAGGAGGTGGTGGTTTTGGAGAGCTTTTGTTGTCGTTCTAACACATTTTTGGTTCTGAGTACTTGAAGCACCTGCTGAAACATTGGCCTGATTTGGCCCATATTTTGTTTGGTTTAGAAATGTTTTTCTTCCCTTCTGTGACTTTGCAGAATACAATGACACATCCTTCCCGTGGTGTCATTCAAGATAACCTTGGATTTTAATCCACGTTTATCCAAACTTTAATATTCTTTAATATTTTTTACCAAATTAATACTAGGGGTGTGTATGGGGCTGTGATCAGATCAGAGCACTGGGCCATCAGGTTTTACAGACTGTCTCCATGAAAGCAAACAGCCCCTCTTTTAGGATGATGAAAACAACCCATTTTGACTAGGAGAGAAGTGTCTTCCTGGCTTGTAGAGGTCAATGTCTCAATTCTAGTTGTTTTTTCCCTTCCTGTGCATTGCAGAGATGCCACTTCAAAAGACATTTCTGCAGTTAAATAAAGGCATTTAATACTAAAGTTATGTATGTAAAATGCCTTTGGAAGAGGACAGCACTTCAGAATTAAAATCCAATAAGTTTAGGACCAGGTGCAGTTGTATTTAGAGACAGAAACTGAAAGTTGTCGCCAGGGGAAACAAAGAAAGGAAACCCACTGGAGTTTGGTCAGAACAATGGGGTATTTAATTGGGGTCATTTTCTTTACAATGCACATTTTTTTAAAATGTGGAGTTTAACCTTCTTGCTTTTGCTTTGCTGCTCTCTGGAGGCAGCTCCTCTGAGCCTTGGGGCTGCTGCACCCACCCTAACGGGATTCCCTGCAGGCCTGGGGTGGTGGATCAGCCCCTCATTTGAGTTCAGGTAAAGTGGGGTAACGTCAGGCTCTGTCATGATTGTCTATCTGAGGTGTTCCAGCCCCAGGGAAATAATCTGGATGGTATAGTTTGTTTACTTGGCTTTTCAGGTTTTTTTTTTTCCTGTGACATCATTTTCTAGACAAATGAAATGTTTGCTTACGGAGGCAGCTTTGCTGCTGGTTCTCCACACAATACTGAGCTCTGTCACCTCTCAGCTCTTACTCCCATTGCAGAGTTGAAAACAAGCCACAGGCTGTGTCTGCTCTACATGCCTGTGGTGGTGGCTGCAGATGGAAGTGGTTGTGGCTCTTGCCCATTTCCCATTTGCATCTCTTGAGCTTTAGCAGTTAATGAAAATGTTACCAGAAGTGATGTTCCTGTATCCTGATCCAGCTTTAATTACAGCCTCAGGTGTTCTCCAGCAACCTGTGCAGGCAGAACTGACCCTCTAGCTGGTGACTTTGTAGTTATTTCAACTGAGAAACAGAAGTTGTTATTAAGGAGTCATCTTTGTTTTGTCCTGAAGCTGTTTTGGAGGAGTGTCACAATCCCTGGGCTGATCAAAGGCTGTGCAGGCTCCGCTCCAGGAGAGACCAGGAGGCATCAGGTCACTGTGGGACTGACACCTGTGCACGGGTTGATAACCAGGAGCTTTATTTGCTGAGAAGTTTTTAGAAATGCTGAATGGGTGCACATTGCATTGGACTATATTTAGAATGTGGGTCGAGGTAGACAAACATGTTTTGAAGTTGGTGATCATGGGGAGGGCTCCACCTGGGCAGTACCTGTGTGTGAGGGACCTGAGGTGGAGCACAGGGTTGAAAGGGGGCAGGGAGTCCAAACTACCTGTTCTGACTTCTTTCTAATTAGCAATTTGTAAGATGAGGATAACAATTCTGTAATTCAAAGCTTTGGCTTCTCTCTGATGGTCATTACTGGAGATCCTTTTGTTAAAAGGTGAAATAAATTCAAGTGACTCCTCGGAAGGATGAACTCCAGTCTTGCTGTGCATGTGCCAGTCATTCTCAGCGTTACAGAGAGCACGTGAGTCGAGCAATCAAATGCTTAATAAACCAAGTCATTACTTTTATGGTAAATTGAAAAAAGTTCTTCTGGGATTTCAGCTGTAAATGAATCCTTGAAAATCAATAATTAGATTAGTAAAGGATGACATTTTAATATGCTGGCAGGAATATAGAGGGATTTGTCAGGGGAAGCAAAACCAGACTTTGCACTAAAGTGGCTTAGGTATATTTATAGTGCTAGTGATTCTGTGTGTGTGTGTGGAATCTTTGGACTATTTTAATATAACGTAAGGCTTTGAGCTTTAGCTGACTCAAGTTGCTCGTTTTATGAAGTTACATTAGTACCACACTGTGAAGTATTTTTAAATATTAGCATTACTGAGTATTAAAAGTATTTCATAAAAA